AAAACAAATTAAAACTGAGGTAAATAGAGGAAAGGAAATATTAAAGATTGGAGTAATCAAATACTGCGTATAGAAGTCAGAAAAGTAACAGAGAAAAATCAGTGAAACCTAAAATGTATATCCTGAGATAGTGAAGTCTTTTGTTGGCAGGATCTCTTGCTCATAACACCTAAAATGTTAAACTTAGGTTCAAGCTCCTGCAGGGTTTGGCCTGTACTTATATCTTAGACTGTATTTCTTTTTATTTTCTACCCTGTGTTTATGCTAGCATAAACATATTTCATTGTCCTGTCTAGCAGCACGTGACATTCGTGCACATACTGTTTCTGTTTGTCCCATGCCTGTCTCTTTTATTTTGCCTCTCACCAATTTTAATCTAGATAATGCTTACTCATCCTTACGTTTAGATTTGATATTCTAATATAGAATATATTCAGCCCTAACCCATAAACTCCACCAGAGCTGGAATTGTACTTATATTTGTTCAATCTTTTTGTTTGATTTTTTGGTACCGAGGATTGAACTTGGGTCCTTGCGCTTGCAAGGCAGGCGGTGGACCCACGGGCTAAATCCCCAGCCCTATTTATTCAGTCTTTTAACACTTAACTCATACATGGTTCATGGTGAATTCTAAGAAAATATTTCTTTAGTAAATGGTTCTATTTTCTTAGGACATGGTGGGTTCAGACATTAGTTCTTTTCTGTATGTCATGAATTTGCATCCTAAGAGTTAAAAGATTATTTTTGTGCTTATAAGAAGAGTATTTAGAGATTTCATCATCTTCTAAATCCACTATTTCTGTTTATTTTATCCTTTACTTTTTGCTGTTCTGCCATAGAGTCAAGTTCATTTTGTCTTCTGATGTATTACTCTATTACTGTGAAATTTCATCATTAAGGCTACTGCTTGTTTTCATCGTGTTACCCACATGAGAGACTTGGCAGAATTTGTGCCAAGTGAACTAGTTAAAAATAGTGGAAAGTGAGATGAATTAAAGAATATCTGACTGCAAGATATTTTACTTTGTAGTTTTCCTACAGTTTTACATATAAACTTTTAGAGACTTGCTCAGAATTTCAGAACTAACATGGTGTCAACATCACATCTAATTCTTATGCTAAGACTCGTTTTCCCACTGCCACCTCGTCTTAAAATGTAATATTTAAAAATTTGCCTTTTCAAGGAGCAGATGTTTAGGTTCTAATGATGAATTAGCTAACAATGGCTAGTAATTATTTCACTTTCTCTGTGACATAGTAAGTTAATCATAGATTTCTGTAAGGTAACATGGTGATCAACTTATTCAAAGATAGCACCCTAGTAAGAAAAAGAAGGTAGAGGCAAGATTTTATCTAACATAAATTTAACTCTGATGTAAAATGCCAATTTTCTACCACATAAGCCATAAAAACAACAGTAGGAATGCAGCATAATATGTAGGTAGTAAGAAAAAATTTTGACCAATTTAAAAATATTTCCTAGCATGTAGTAGTCAGTAGCGTTAAAGCTGAAAAATTGCTTGTCTTAGTTACTCTTCTCCTTGCTGAGACAAAATACCTGACACAAGTTAAAGGAGGAAAGGTTTAAACTTGGCTCACAGTTTGTAGAGGTTTCAGTCCATAATCGGCTGGCTGCAAGGAAGGGTGGCATGGAAGAAGGAATTGCAAAGGAGAAACAACCCATAACAGAGCAGGCAGGAAGCAGCAAGCAGCAGCTGAAGTAGCAATGAAGCAAGCCTCCCTTACCCTTTTGTGCCATCCTGAGCTTTTTTTTTTGAGTGGTGCCTTCCACATTCAGGGTGGGCCTTCCCACTGTCCACATCCAGAACTATGCTAATTCCAATCAGTGGACTAATTTAGTACCATACATTCTTAATCTCAGTATCACATTCCAGCCAGCTCTGAAAGCCCTGCTTATAAGCACATGAGGCTTTGGGGGGACATCTACATACAAAGCATAACACAGGTCAAATGAAGAATAATGTTCATTTATTGTCTTTAGGGTTATACTTAAACACTGCTGGGTAGGGCAGATATTCTGTGAGGTAAGCTGTTGATACAGAAGCCAAGAACTGGTTGGGAAAGGGAGAGTAGTCCAGAGAAAGGTGAAGATGGTACAAACAGAGAAGACACTCAGGGACAAGGGAATGGGATAACAAAGACAATATATATTCTTCCTCTTTCAGTTGCCATTATTCCTGCCTCGTGGGAATTTTAAGGTTTTAAGGAAACAGGAAAGAAGAGGTATCAAGGCAATAGAAGAGAGAGAGTCCAGGGTGTAAAGAATCCCATGTAGATACAGGTATAAGAAAATTTGGTTTGTGTTTGAGGATATTGGAGTGAGATAAAGATGTAGTAGATAGGCTGGATTAATTGGAACTATTAGGGGATAGTCTGGGAGATAAAGAGAATGAGAAGAATGGGATATAAAGTCAGAAAAGTCACATGTGCAATTCTGTGTAGCTTGATTAGACTGTAGGTCTTCATTCATAAGTTCATCTGTTTACTGTTGTTGGAAAAGAAGGCAGTGTCTGCCATCCAAGTACGAACCAGGCCCAACCCAGCTTAGCCTCTGAGATCAAACGAGATGGGGTGCGTTCAGGTGTGGTATGGCCGTAGACGAGGAGGCAGTGTCAATAAAACAAAAACTATTTTTAGAGTACTTAATTCTTATCTCAGTTTTAGCTTGTTGCTGGATTTATAAATTGAGACATTTGATTATTTTAGCAGGCAGAAAACTATGTAAAAGAATCTCCTGATGTCATAATTTCTGTGTGTCACTGGAACATTTGATCATCATTCCTTTGGCAATTCCAGCTTTCTATGGAAGGTCAGTAGAAGCAATTTATTCACCTCTACAGGAATCAGACAGCCTATTTTGGTAAGTCTGAGCTTCCTTGATCAAGTAAGCTAAAAGTTCCTACACCAATAGATAGTTATAGTAATCCATACAGTTTACCATGGTTTTACTAAGTTATCAATGAGCAGAACACTTTTTCTTGAAAATTAACACACCATCTATAAAAATTATTACATAACCAAATCCTTAAGAATTTAGTTCATTTTCACCAATAAACATTTATTTAGTAGGCATAGAATACCGTAGTAGACATAAGAACAATTTTAAGATACTTTTCATTTTTCCTAACCTTTATGGGCTAACATTGAAAATATGCAAATTCATTCAAGGTAGAGTTAC